TGCACACTGAAAATGTAGCTCTGTGCACTGTACACAGCCTGGCGCAGTCAAGCCTCCCCAACCCCACGTAGTCGGTGATGTAAAAACACCCGAGCTCCCACAACAGGGCCCATTCATTCCACACTCTTCCTCTGCCTTAAACAGATTATATTCCAAGAATGTCCTCCAGGGAGTGCGGTACACTGTGGGATGGGGGTTGGGCAGCAGCCTTCTGGCGACAATCCCACCAGCTAAGGCCAAAACCATACCGAGCGTAGAAGTTTTTGTCAAATGTATTTGTAACAAGGCTGTGTGGCGCTCGTTTGTTTTTTAAGTCTCGGACACAAGGCGGTCATTATGTAGCCAACTCAGGAATGCCAGTTGCTTGAGCGCTCTGAGGACGACAGCCCCTACATGCACAGCCACCATCAGTGGTCACAGCAATACACACCTGGGTCTAAAAATCCACCGTGCAGCCGATAACTTAGCCTTCACGTGTGAGTTACAAACATACTAGTTATCAATGCATTTGTTTAGGACTACATGATCCTATGATTATGCCATTTGCCAATTTTATCGAAAAAAACATTGGTATGAACTTGGTTGTGGTTTAAAATGTAGCGGTTTTTGCTGTTTCCACAATGTTAGGTTTTGAAGAGACTTTTATCATATACTCTCCATACACCCAAACAATGTAAAACCACAGGGACATTCCAACAGTTGTAAGGTACAAAGTTCCCTTGAATGCGAGTTAAACAAACACAGCAAGAGAAGCATTCCCCATTAATGAATCCGATGTGTTCATGTTTACGTGTTCACAATTGAAGATTTTATCATTACAATTTGTAAAACACAATACAACATCTCAAAGTAAATCTGTAAAAACAGAATCATAGATTCGTTCACGTAGTTTTCCCAAACATTACCGAGGGTAACGGTACAGCTAAATAGCTACCATGACCCGATTGTCCCAAGATATACAGTGAATGCTGTCGAGAATGTGGACCAGTGAGGTTGTCAGGTATCTGAAAAACCCAGTGGTACAACCTCTACCCTGCGATGCCATCGGGAGATTAAACCGTGTACATTTCTGAGCATTGAACAATTTAAACACCAAGAATATATCAGTCACATTGTATGTTAAATAATTTAAATTAATTGTTGCTGAAGATGCCAATATACAACCTCAACCATTCCGAGGTGTTTTTTTTCCTCAGGGGTTAGCGTCCAATCCAAAACCACACCACATAGCTAAATATAGTAAACTGTGAAATATTAAAATCCTACATGTACTTTAACGTGACTTTTTGAAGCATGGTCATAAACGCCGACTACTTTTCATCTTAGCAATACTGAGTCACGACAAATACTTCAGCCTCATATTAATGGATAGCTTGCAGCTTCCAGAGACCGAAAGCACTTTCCATAGTTTTTGCAGAATGATAGGTTTGTGCCCGGCACATATGAGGTCTAACCGCAAACACCAATTTTTCTACTGGTGCATCCAAGCCAACCCAGCGCAGGGTCCTCACAGTACAGGTAGGTTTTCCATTAGCTGTTTGCCATGTCAAGCCGGAACCAAACTGTGCTACAAAGTCCTCATAAGACATCCGAATCTGGCTTGGGGAGGGTCAAGCTGGCCCGGGGCGGCGTTAATGACATGTTCATTGCGTGACATGTCAGTGAGCATAACTCAAAAACGTCACTGCGTCATCTACACGCATCTTGATTTGTTCGTAGCGCGAGACGTCAGCGGCACGGCAGCTTGGCTTCTGCAGTAGAAAAAAACATCCTGGCTCGGCACGGCCCCAGTGCAACTCAATTTCATAGTGGAAACGAGGTAAAACATATACAAGAGGGGAAATGGAACCTTGTCATGAAAACCTTCCCAGGCGTACGGGTGCGTGTTCGGCACAGAACGGTGACCCACCAGCATGTGGAGGCTTCTTGCTCACTCTGCCGAGTCGCTCATGCCAGTGCAAGATATCAGCCCTCTATGCACAGCTCTCGTTGGCCCAGTTCAGTCCCTGGGGTCTTGTTTTGGTCGCCGATGCTGCCCTGTTGTCTGCTTCTGCACACAGAATGACAGGGGTTGATGACATTTTAACCGTCCATGTGCTGCTGGCCAGGTCAATAAACACATATCAATGATGGATCAACAGTCAATCACGTCCAGAAGATGGCCTCCTCTCATGCTGTCAATGTGCCTCACACAGTCTCGGGATCCCACGATTCATCTCACTCCTGCACGTGAACTGATCTCATTGCTCCATCTCTTGGGCACGGTTCTCTTCTTTGGCTGCTGCTATTCCATCACCAGTCGTATCCATTGGCCACCATCTCTTGTGTTCTGTCCAAACCCACTTTACAAGTCAATGTCACCGATTTGCATTTGTTCCCGATCAACGCACTTTATTTACAGCGTAATTCCAAACATGTATCTCTCCATGCTTCTTTGTACACTTTTCAACGTTTGTTCAGCGTCGTAAAAGTCCATGTTTCTGATCCGCGTCGTAGTAGGTAATAAGCGGCGATTAAAACATGTTCTTCAGAAACACTGTTATGCTAATTTTCCTAAACGGTTTCAGTGCTCCAAAAGTTATCTATATTCTGATCAGGTTACCACCATCACCAGTTTAACACGTTGGGATTCGCGACCAATTTTATCCATAATAGATCTTTTTGAGTTAGATCGCATAAATATTATGAATACAGCCATCACCATTTGTACTACAATGGTTATGCAGTCTCAGTAATGGTCAGAAATTCCCAATGCGGATTGGAGAGATTACACTAACCAGTACGGTGAGGTTACTGTATGGTCAAACTTCCCCACATAATGACAGAAGGTAAGGGGGAGGGCCTTCTTCCACAAGTGGTTCGCAAAAAGGTTGTTAAATGATTGGCATTCTAACAAGCTGACGAGGAATTACCTCTAAATCCGTGTTATATGCAGGTCACGGGGGTGGCGGGTGGGCGACAGCTGGTGTTCACCTCCTACACCTAGACACCGAGCCTCCAGTCCTTAGTGTCCACTCCGGCAATTGTGCGGCCCCTGCATTTGATTGCTTGCTCACGACAACAGCTGGCGGTGGGAAGAGGGCCTTCCTCACTTCTAGAAATCCCTCTCGAGGATTTTTGGGTCCTCTCCTCCACGTTGAGCAGACGTCCTGGACGACGGGGTGAGACACTTTTCTTTTTAACCCCCGCCACACGCGACCTGTGCCTTTTGACTCTCCGGCGAAGCCAGACTACCGGTTTGCAGGCGGACGAGGACATTTGAGACATCTTGACTACCTCGCTGGAAAATCGAACCGGCGACTTCTGGATCGCAAGTCCAGTGCGATAACCATTAACACCCACGATAGTTGCCATAAGTAGCAGGTTATGATGTTGACATAATTGTGACCGCTATTCTTTCTTGTGTATTCAGAAAACACAAGGAAGCAATGATTGCATAGAACACGTGGAAGACTAGACACGGGGGCCCCAGCGCGTGTAACATATGGCAGCAGAGGGGGCTCCTGGTTCACGCTGTCAGGGTAACACGCAACGCACTGTACGGCCACACGTTACCAGCTCACACTCCCCGCATTCACTCGCACGTTTACAGACATGGGTGTGAGAAGCGAATGGAGAGAGTGTGGGGAGTGAGCGGAGAGTGTGCGGTGAGAGTGGAGAGTGTGGGGAGTGGAGAGTGTGGGGTGAGAGTGGAGAGTGTGGGGAGTGAAGAGTGTGGGGAGTGAGCGGAGAGTGTGGGGTGAGAGTGGAGAATGTGGGGGGAGAGTGGGGTGAGAGTGGCGAGTGTGAGGAGAGTGTGGGGAGTGTGAGGGGAGAGTGGAGAGTGTGAGGAGTGAGTGAAGAGTGTGAGGGGAGAGTGTGGGGTGAGAGTGGAGAGTGTGGGGTGAGAGTGGAGAGTGTGGGGTGAGAGTGGAGAGTGTGGGGTGAGAGTGGAGAGTGTGGGGTGAGAGTGGAGAATGTGGGGGGAGAGTGGGGTGAGAGTGGCGAGTGTGAGGAGAGTGTGGGGAGTGTGAGGGGAGAGTGGAGAGTGTGAGGAGTGAGTGAAGAGTGTGAGGGGAGAGTGTGGGGTGAGAGTGGAGAGTGTGGGGAGTGGAGAGTGTGAGGGGAGAGTGTGGGGAGTGAGTGGAGAGTGTGGGGTGAGAGTGGAGAGTGTGGGGTGAGAGTGGAGAGTGTGAGGGGAGAGGGGAGAGTGTGGGGTGAGAGTGGAGAGTGTGGGCTGAGAGTGGAGAATGTGGGGGGAGTGAGTCCAGTGTGGGGAGTAACAGAACAGTGTGGGGAGAGGGGATTGGAGGGCGTTCGATGACTGTCGTGAGGGAGTTTAAGGAATGTGGTGGGGAAGAGAATTGTCGGCACGAGTGAGCCGAGGCGTGTTGGAGGAGCGAGCGAGGAGAGTGTTGAGTGTGAGAGGAGGTGTGTTGTGTTGTGTGTGGAGGATGGCTCACCTCAAGTGTTCGCGTCTCCCCGCTTTTCGCCGCCTCCGCCGCCTCTCGCCACACAAAGAAGATCGCGACGCCGAGTGACGACCGCGGGGTGAGGGGCGGGGGGGGGGATGGCGAGGGGCGGAGGCATGGGCGGGGTGGGGCGGGGCCGGGGGGTGAAGGGCAGAGCCCGGGGTGGTGAGGGGCGGTGGCATGGGCGTGGTGGGGCGGGGCCGAGGGATGAGGGGCGGAGCCTGCGGTTGTGAGAGGCGGCGGCATGGGCGGGGTGGGGCGGGGCCGAGGGGTGAGGGGCGGAGCCTGCGGTTGTGAGAGGCGGCGGCATTGGCGGGGTGGGGCGGGGCCGAGGGGTGAGGGGCGGAGCCGGGGGGGGCGAATGGGCAAGGCGGGGCGGGGTTGGGGGGCGAGGAACGGAATGAATGGCTGGGTCAAGCCATCACTTCCGGGGTCACCGTTGTGGTCGTAATCGATTAATCGATACGCGCAGCTATGGGCAATAGACGAATCGTTAGAGGGTGAGCTCCACGCCCGCATTGTTATTATTGTGTTACTTGTGCAACGTGTGTGTGTGTACATTATACACATGTACACACACACGCGTTGCACACGTGCCGCGTGTGTGTGCTCGTGCTGGCTTTCCCGCCGTCTCTTGGCGGCAACGACAGCGGCAGCCGGCTCCAGTGAGAGTGTACAGGCGACAGAGAGTCACTACAGGCGACAGAGCGAGTGTACAGGCGACAGTGAGAGTGTACAGGCGACAGTGAGAGTGTACAGGCGACAGTGAGAGTGTACAGGCGACAGAGTCACTACAGGCGACAGTGAGTGTACAGGCGACAGTGAGAGTGTACAGACGACAGACTCACTACAGGCGACAGAGAGTGTACAGGCGACAGAGAGTGTACAGGCAACAGAGAGTGTACAGACGACAGAGAGTGTACAGGCGACAGAGAGTACAGGCGACAGTGAGAGTGTACAGACGACAGTCACTACAGGCGACAGAGGGTGTACAGGCGACAGAGTGTACAGGCGACAGAGAGTACAGGCGACAGAGTCACTAGTCTGTACAGGCGACAGAGAGTGTACAGGCGACAGAAGTACGGTGTGAATGTGCTGCTGCAAATTCTACTGCGGTGAGAGCGCGTGCGCGTTACTGGTGTGTACTCGTGTGTGTACTCGTGTTGAGTGTGTATTCGTGTGTGTGTACTCGTGTGAGTGTGTACTCGTGTGTGTACTCGTGTGTGTGTACTCGTGTGTGTACTCGTGTGTACTCGTGTGTGTACTCGTGTGAGTGTGTACTCGTGTGAGTGTGTGTGTACGTGGGATAGCTAGGGTACACACACACACACGTGCCGTGATGTTACGTGGCCGCAGGAGGTGTTCGCCTCACGACCCCTTGGCTGAGGTTGCCTTTGTGAGAATGATGTCAAGAGGCACGTTGCTTTTGCAGGGCAGGTGTGTTGAGACCACTTTGCAGGAGAAGAGAGATGAGTCTGGAGTGTAAAATAAGGGAATTTGAGGTGGTAGTGTTCGCTGGGTTACTGTGCGGACCAGAGAGAGAGAGCTTGGACCCTTCGGCAGCTGGAAGAGAGACTTTGTTGTTGGCGTTTTGAGCTGCTTATCTGAGACGGATTCTGGTCATGTGAGTGTTGTGGGTTTAAACAGGTCCCTGCAGGGTGGGCTGGTAGGAACATTGGAATTTTGCGCAATTTTATGACATTGTTACGCATTCCTGTTACGTGACCTCCAAATGTTGGGTGCAATAAGACACATCAAGTCTCTGCGCTGTCTATTGCTGATTTGACACCCAACAGCACGAGATTTCACTTCGTTAAAGTATTGAAAGGGGACGGACGGACACATTAATCTATTGCAGGCTGGTACACTCAGTTTACAACTTCGTTCTTACCAGTATAAGCACCTTCCTCTAAGACGAAGGTACTTTGCAAACCCACTGGCTGTCAACAATGATTCGTTCATGAAGCCATCCGTACATATATAGACACAGGCAATTTAAATCGAGAAGATGGGTACAAACTGAGCAATCATTGGAAGTACGTTATCAACCAGTTTAAGTCATAACTAGCTGTGATGTTCCCTTCCTACCACCTTCCGATGTTAGTTATTTTCGGCTCTCTGATTTTATATTATAGTAAGACTTGCTTAAAACTTATTTAAGTTTTTAGATTCCTATATGTTGAATGTATGCACCATCCTGCCAAAGTAAATTCCGTGTCGGTGTGAACTTACATGGCGAATAAAACCCTTTCTGATTCTGATTAACAGGTCAAATTTCTCACCCTAACACAGTCACCTCGCTCACCTCGCTCGTGGTTTTTTTTCTTTGCGATCTTCCATTAACATGCCAATATCTCACATTAACACGCTAATCTCTAACATTAACATGCCAATATCTCACATTAACACGCTAATCTCTAACATTAACATGCCAATATCTCACATTAGCACGCTAATCTCTAACATTAACATGCCAATATCTCACATTAGCACGCTAATCTCTAACATTGACATGCCAATATCTCACATTAACACGCTAATCTCTCACATTAACATGCCAATATCTCACATTAACACGCTAATCTCACATTAACACGCTAATCTCTTACATTAGCACGCTAATCTCTAACATTAACACGCTAATCTCTCACATTAACATGCCAATATCTCACATTAACACGCTAATCTCTCACATTAACAGCTAATCTCTCACATTAACAGCTAATCTCTCACATTAACATAATAATCTCTCACATTAACATGCTACTCTCTCACATTAACATGCTACTCTCTCAAATCAACATGCTAATCGCTCACATTAACATAATAATCTCTCACATTAACATGATCTTTCACATTAACATGCCAATCTCTCGCATTAACATGCCAATCTCTCGCATTAACATACCAAACTCTCACATTAACATGCTAATCTCTTATATTAACATGCTAATTCTTACTTGGCAGCCCTTTGATTGGTAGAAAACCCACCACCGTAGCGGTCGCTGCTCACCACTTACATTAACATTGGCTGCTGACATTTGGGCTACGCCCATTTCAAACCTTTATAAACAGTTTACCATTAGAAGCTAACCCCCTCTTCCTTAATGACGAACGCTTGTGTTGCGATTGAAACGTTGTAGTTTTTTGTTATTTTCTTTGAACCTATCTACGTGAATTTACCGAAAGACCCAAAGAATATGAATTCCTGCAGTCACGAAAGCTTTAAGACTTTTGTCTTTCTTCACATTAACTTTAGTTGCTATTGTTATTCATATTTTTTTACTTTAAAAAACACTTAAGTATTCACGAGAGCTGCTTTCCATAAGCAACGCACATCAACCATTGAAAAGCTAACAGCCATTTGCTCATAAAACGCTCATAAAAGGGCGTCGCTGATTGGCTGAGGTCTGCCGAGTCAAATTCTGAGCGCTCCGATTGGCCGAAATCGGCGAGATATCGTAAACACATAATTAAGCAAAAATGTATAATTCATAGAAACAATGGGACCCTATGGGAGGCGGATCGTTTATCAAAATATCGTTAATCGATGGCATCGTAAACCAAAAGACAACTGTCCCCGCATACACGTCGTTTTTGACTCGGTTTAGCTGAGTCGAGTCGAAAACATTGTGCGTGGGCGCGTAGCCGTTAGCGCTACGGTGCGCTACGAACCCCAGAGACAACGCAATGACGCAAATTCACACGCCCCGTGACTCGCCAACAATGGCAACATCTTGTGCTTGACGAACACCTTGCCCAGCAAGGAGTGTCCCTTGTGTTTGTACTGTGATGTTGCAGACATTCTCAATGGGTAAGGATATTAGACATCCTTGGATAGCGTCTTTGTAAGACATGGCGTGACACGGATATCTTAAACACCATAACGGGGTGGCGCTAATGCATAAGTATAGCTAGGATGTGGCTCACAAGATGGTGATTGGTTGGAAAGGTTTGAAATAGGGAGAAGGCGGGAATGTTTTATAGAGGCACAAGGGATCTGTTGGGGACTGTTAGAAGGGGAGCAAAGGGATTGGTTAGAAGGATGGCATGGCCGGGGATTTGAGAGGGGAGGATAAAAGGGAAGAGGGAGGGGAAGCAGGAGGCGCTCAAGAGAGGGAAGGGGGTAGTGTTGGCTGGCGGTAGGCACTGGACGTTGTTGTTAAGGAGTCCTTCATTACAAATATACCTGTGCTTTATTTTTCAGACGCCCAAACAGGGATTGAAAGTGTGGTCCTGCGTGTGTCATGGAGCGCCTGCTGGAGCTGGGTCTCGATGGCCTAGCGAGGTGAGGACGGTGTTGCTTTCGTGGACCTTGTGCACTGAGGCCCCTAGTTATGGTGCTCGCCTATCATAGTGGTTGTGGTATAGGCAGCATTGTAAACAACAATGCTGCCTATACTTGGATTGCAAGTTGAATGTGGTGATCACTACACCACAGAAGCTCTGTAGGTGGTGGATTCGCCAGCATGTACAGTCATGCCTCAGTTTACATCGGGGATACGTTCCTGAAAGGTGCGACGACGAATATTGACCCAACGTAAATCAAAGCAATTCCCAGGGTAGTAGATGGAGGTGAAGGCTGAGAGGCGACGGATATGAGAAAGGACGGATTTTGTCAACGACATCAGTGTGGGGTTGAGGTGATGCAAATCAGGCAGAGGTATGAATAAAGTGATTATGTATTTTGGAAACGACAAAGGGGCAGACATAAATCAGTGTATTACTGTATGATTACACATTTCTTGGACAAATCACCCTTGATGCTCTTCGTTTTATCACATCTCGGATGCTGCATAGGGTTGAGCTTATATAGTACTTGGACCGGGGATTACCTGAGAATACCAGGTATTGTTGACATGGGCTGTGGGGTGGCCAGGAGATCGAAGTACATAGTACATCAAATATTCTTAAATCCATATGTGCAGAACTCTAAGCGTTACATCCTTATATGAGTGGGCTTTCTCCAGGTACTCTGGTTTCCTCCCACATGCCAAACACATTAATGGAATTCGTCATGGTCGCGAGATGTTAACTACATCTCCTATTATGCAGGAGACCGTGGGTTTGATCCTGACCCTGACTCCTGTTGTATATTTGTAGATTTTTCTCCAGGTCCTCCGGTTTTTCCATCACATTTAGAAACAGGCGTTTAGAGTATTTGGCTGCTGTAAATTTTTACATTATAAGCCACTTCGCTGCGCTATCATTTGTGGCCAGGTCGTTTCTGAAAAAGAGCGAAATGGCAGCTCAGTGGGCCTTACCTGGTAAAATAAAATTGTAAACAAACAAATATCTGCGGATCGGGGAGGACATGGTTACCTTGTGTAGGTGTAACGTGGTAATATGGCCTACTCACCTTGCTAAGCCCTTGCAGGTTTGGTCCCAACGTTTTGTTTCTGCTGGATGTTCACAGCTGGATCATGAGAGTTCTTCTTTGGTTCATTCGGTAAGGTCACGTAGAATGAGAATAAAATAATAAAATAACACAATAAAATTCTCACGACGTTTCGGCCACAACGCAAGCGGCCGTCTTCAGGTGAAAGGTACAGACCTGTCGGGACGACAGAGCTTCAAGAGAGTTGTTGCCAGGTCCATTGTCGATCTTTTACACAGGGGTCAGCTGACATCATGCGAAGCAGAACTGCAGGAGCTGATGCGGCAGATCGATGTGATGGTGGGACAGCGCAAGCAGGAGTGGGAGCGCGAGCTGCAGGCGCTGTCGGCCCGCCTGGAGGTGCGTGAGCAGGAGCTCTTCCTCTGCCGCTCCACGCTGGAACGCAAGCACCAGGAGGTGGGACTTCTTTTTGCATACTCGGTCGTTAGCATTGCATTTGCATGGTGTCTGAATGGACATGACCAGTTGAAGTATTATTTGTTTAACTAGGTGAGAACCCAAGAGAGCAGGGATAGTCTAATTTGCAAGAGTGAACTTGGTCACCTAAATGATGAAAAGTAAAACAAATAAAAGAGTACATCTATGAAGCAAGTAGAAATCGGTACAAAATACAACTGCATAAGATGATACATCGACAATATTGCACAAACGTAAATCAGATGTTCATTCCCTGTAATACAAGTCAGCTCGAGCAAATTATTTTAGACTGATAATACAATTACAAGTGAGTTACAGAAAACAGATGAAGGGTGACTGCCATTGTACTTATATGTAAACATACAAGTATGTGCAAGTCAAATGCAATTTCAAATGACGATATAAATAATTGACAGTTTTGCTTCACGTTGTGATTAAGATGTGAGATGAATCAAAGACATTTCTTCGTAGCGATGGAATTCCAGGTGTTTGGGGCATCAACACAGAACGAGTGAGAACCGTGAGAGATGTGAGTTGTGAGTCCTCGCTACAGTTCACTTTAGTGCTTGTGGGGCGTCTAGGATTTCTGAGAGTTTTGGTCCTGAATAACCACTTTTGATTAGGCGAGGGACTAAGTTATATGTGTGTGTGCGCATTTAATGTTAGCTTGGTCCAGTGAACCTCCCTCCGAATTGGAAGAGGGTCACAACTGGATTTGGAGTTAAGATCACAGCGATGAGTGGAGTTGTTGATAAAGCGCAAAGGCAGAGTGAAAGATAGGATTTAGCAAATCCAAAAGGTTTTTTTTAGAGAGATTGATTTGTATATGATGTCAGCATAGTCTAGTTTATGCAAAGAGGCAGTAGCTATAAACATGTACAACGAGAATCCTGCTCTGTCAAGCGTCTTGTTGTGACGTGTGTATGCGCAGTTAAAACTGAAATCGTCAGAGTACGTATTGGGCAAGCCCTCATGTTTGTCTTGTAAATTCTTCGCTTCACTGCAGTCAGACTTTCAGAGTGTTTCCATGGGCGCCGCTCAACTCTCTTGGCTCTGCCGAGGCAGGTAAAGTCCTGTAAATTGCCTGCTCGTTCCACTGCTGGTGGAAGAGCCTCCGCTAGAGGGAGCTCGAGAGGTCATTTTGTCTACCCTTCCACATTTATTAGACACAAGCGGTAAGTACCCGGCATTGCCCGGGCGAAAAAGACAGACACACACATCGACTTTCACACACTTTCAATGTACATGAGTTTAGCGGAAGACGCAAGGAACAGAAATTGTATTTGTCCGCACACAAACATTATGATTGTAATATTTGCCAGGTGATTATTTTAAAAATAGGTTTCTATCAACGTGATTTGACACAATCACGAATATATCAACGCAGAGCAAGTTATTACTAAAATATTAGTTGTGAGCACACATACGAAAATATGTGAATATTTGCAAGATGATTATTAAAATACCAGGTTTCTGTGTACATGAGTTGAGCGAAAGAAGCAAGGAATAGAAAAAATGGTTGTCTGCACACTAACATTATTAATGTTCATTCATTGTGTCTTTCGGTAAAGTCACGTAGACAGAAAAATAATGAAAAGTGTAAAAAAATATCACAATACCATACAAGAACAACAACCGCCATTCGGCACTAAGTGGTGGTGATGTCATCACGAAGCTTGTGGCAGGCTATGTGCACCTTGAGACCACGTGAAGTGTCGAACACCCACTGGCAGGAGGTGACGGGGCAGACCCAGATGCGACAGGTCGACTGACTGAGACGACTGGCTAGAGCACCACCTGTGCCCCCTACTGTGCCAACTTGCTGTGCTTTAGCCACCCGGCGCTCTGCTCGTTGTTGTGAGCATCGCTCCTCCGCCCTCCATTGTTGTTGGAGGACGACTTCCTCCAACTGGCCAGTAGCGTCCTTCACGAGCCTCCTCCACAGAGGCCGATCTTGACAGCACTAGTAGCAGTCATCGGCAAGTCCACTCAGCTCCACATCCTCCTGTACCACATAACTCCATCTCTTCTCTAGCCTGTGCCGCGCCCGTTTAGCCCCCACGATCCGGCCGAACAAAAGCTGTTTAGGCATGCAGTAGCTGGGCATATGGGCTACATGGCCCAGCCAACGCAGCCTTTCCTGCCGGAGGAGCTCACCGATGGGACTTTGCCCAGATCTTTGAAGGATTTATGAGCTTCTCACACAATCCAGCCTGGTTAAACCCAGCATGGATCGTAGGCAGGCCAGCCTAAATGTTTCTAACCGGCAAGGATGCTCCATTAGGGGGGTCCACGTTTCGCAAGCATAGAGAAGGGAGGGAATGACTGTGGACGAGAAGACCTGAAGCTTTGTTCGGAGCGATAGGCCAGGTAGCTTCCACACAGTGTTACGCAAAACATATTGCCGCTCGACTGATTCGGAGTGAGACCTCTGCTGTTAAACCGGAGCCGGTCTTGAGCACACTGCCCAGGTATGGGAAATTCTCCACTCTCTCCACAACTGCCCCATCACCGATTGGGAGTTGTGGGGGTGGAGTGTCCGATGGTACAAAATACCCAGGCAGGTGTTTAGTTTTGGTGGGGCTGATGGTAAGGCCCCACCTCTTAGTGGCACGCTCCAGTTTCAGCAGCAGCGTCTCCAACTCCTCCTCTGAATGAGCAGCAATTACCAAATCATCGGCATACATAATGTGGTTGACCAATAGGGAGCCATCCCTTGACCGCACCCGGGCATCGATCAGCCTCCCATTATATCTGTACCAAATGGAAATTCCCCCGGTACAGCTATTGAAGGCTTCACGAACTACGTGGTCAAAATAGATGTTAAATAATGTGGGAGCCAGAGGACATCCCTGTCGCACCCCAAGGTGTACAGGGAATGGCTCTGACTCCCGGCCACGTAGTTTTACCCGGGCCTGCTCACCATCATGAATGTCCTTAATGATCGTGAGCAGAGCGTCAGGGACTCCGAAAGCATGAAGAACAACCCAGAGCCCAGACCTACTGATGGTCTCATAGGCCTTGACCAGGTCAATAAAACAGAGATGTAGGTCTTGTTGGAATTCCCTACACCTATGCTGTAGCAGACGGACATAAAATATGGCATCTGTGCAGGACCGCCCTTTCCTGAAACCGCATTGGGGCTCCACAAGCCGTTCCTCAGCGTGCCTAGCAAGGCGATGTTGAATAATCCTTGCCAGGTCCTTTCCCGGCACACTGAGGAGTGAGATACCCCTGTAGTTGTTACAGCACGCGAACACACACATACCTACAAACAAACCCACAAACTGACAAGTTTTTACTTTTATATATATAGATATATGTTCAAAGGGGGGAGGTTGTTTCCCTCACTTTAGCCCACCACACGCAGTTGCATTACACAACAGTGGTTTCCTTGTGGCGAGTCAGAGGTGTAAATTCCACACTAGTGTGGTGGACTCCAGTCTCCCCGTAGAACAATCTATTCTGACTTAGCACAAACGTTTATTGTTAATAGTAGCACGCAGACCATTGGCCAAGTTGGCTCCTGACCAGGATTTGAACTGGAAACCCTCCATGCGTGAAGGTGGCACTCGAGCTCGGCGAACAGAATGCATCGATAGATAGCGCTGATACTTGGGAGTGCCGTGCACGCAGGTGGGCATGCTAAAGCAGCAGCTGGAGACGGCGGAGACCTCCCACGCGGCGGTGGCTCAGCGGTATGAAGAGGAGCTCAAGTATTGCAAAGATCAGGTTTGCCTTGGCTTGTTCTCAGCCTCTTGTTTCCGTGCCATCGGTGCGCATTTGTAATGTGAAATAAACCACGACGGTGGTCGCTTCTTATCAGATGCTGTGAGTGTTCACTGGTCTTGGAATTGCAATTCACCATTTAAAAAATTGCAAATCACCTTTAATAAAAAAAAAACCTCAAGTATATTGTTTAGAAACATCACAGTGTTTCATTTTTCAACATATGTTTTCCATGTTTGTTAAACGAGTTATTAAGTTCCCATTTCTTGCATTGTTTCACATGTGTTATCACATTTCTAGGTCCCAAACATCTCCACGCACTATATATTCTTAGCTCTTTCGGCAAAGTCACGTTGAAGGGAAACAATAAAATAATAATATATATAAAACAATAACAATTCTCACGACGTTTCGACCATAACACAAACGGTCGTCATCAGGTGTTGTTTTATATATATATATATTTTATTATTTTATTGTTTCCCTTCAATGTGACTTTACCAAAAGAGCTAAGAATATGAATTACTGCAGTCACGAAAGCTTTAAATCAAAATCTCCACGCACTGTTAAATGTTGCCACTATGTGTTCCCTACCGCTGTCCCACATGTATCTTTATGCAATTATGTCTCCACCGTTCTTCACCCCTATCCCTTTCCTTCCATCGTCTCTCTCAAGCTCGGTGTTCGTGCCTCTGCGGGGTCTCCTCTCCCCTGCCATCACATTGCACCCTTCACATCTTCCGCTCCATGTGATCCGACACTCTTGATGCATCACAGTGACCGCGCCGTTGCTGGGCACGAGCGACAGGATATATGTGAATAGGTTTATAAACACGCGACTATGATAACCTAGGTTATCACAAGTGCACATTTGTGGAGTGAGAAATTGGAGATGCGTAGATATAGGTGTGTGGAATTAGAAGCAAGACATGCATTGAGAGGCAGACATGCACAGAGCGAGAGATAGAGATGGGCAGCAGTGTGGCAGATGTGTGAAGTTGGAAAAGTGGAGACATGGCAAGTAGATGTATGGAGTGAGAAGGGTAGAGCGTAGGAAATATATGGAGTTAGAGAAAAGCAGACAGTAACAGAGTATAGAAATGAAGGGAACTTTTGTCGTGAAATGATTGGGAACTTAGCAAACTGGACTTGCCATCTAAAAAGGTCGCTGGCTTGGCGGTTGAAACAATGGGGAGAGTTTCCCGTTTCCCCCCTCCCCCGTCCGCCCAAGTGTATGAAATGGGTGTACGGAAGTCGATCGGCACGTCGCGCGTGGTGGGGTAAAGTTTAGGTGTTCCCAGTGGTCAGTGTGGAAGAGGAGACAAAAAACCCTCCAAGAGCTACCTCGAGTGCAGCCCTTTTGCCAGTCGTGGTGTGAGCAAGAAATTTGTGGGGCTTCACGTTTACCTTTTATTTACCAATACGTTATTTACCCTTAGGCCTGCTGCTACGCGGTTTGAGCATTTGCATACTAACATTGCACTGGAAACAGAATTGGTAATTGATTCTTAAATTGGTTCCCAATTTACCGATTATCGTTTAACAACCCTCGAGTAAAAGTATTTGTGGTGGAGCTCGTCATAGCGTGCCGTGTGCCCAGCTCGAGCCGGCTATTTCCTGCCTGCAGCTCGGCAAGCTGAAGGGCAGTTACGAGAAACTCCAACGGCATCAGCGGCGTCAGGCGAGTCGGATCCGACAGGACACGGATGGCAGTCTCGCCAGTGCAGAGCTGGGCCACCTGTGTCAGAAGCTGGAGGTAACGATGCCACCGCTACAACAGAGGCCCCCCCCCCCTCTGCCACCTGGACCGCATGATGTGATGCTCGTGTAATATTCACACTCACCACTTGCACCCACCGGACAGTCAATTTTCTGTTAGGATTCCGTAGCAGGGCTGCCCGCGAGTACCGAGAGGTGGTCGTGGTGCGCAATTGCGTAATGAGGAATGGCACGCGGCGCACCACCTATTGTAGAGTGCAGGGTGCAGCAACCATTATTGAGTCCATCATGTGGCGCACCACCCTTTGTTGATTACAGAATATGATGTAGCACTTATTGTTGAGTAAAGAATGCATTGCACCCCTCAATGTTGAGTCCAGCATGCGGCACACCGCTCATTGTTAACCACACTGCTCATCTCATGTGCAGGTAGTAGGTAGATTATAACACTGGCTGTGAATGATATAGTCAGCTTGTGGAGGTCTTTATCCAGCAGTGGCTTTTCCATGGCTGATGATGATGATATGTCTTTTATAAGTGTAACTAGCGGGAAGTACCCGGCGTTGCCCGGGTCAAAAAAATATTTAAAACCTACTCTTAAAAATCTAACAGCAGTGCTTACTGACTGGTGGTACCTGCTATGATTGCAGCAGTGCATACCGACTGTGGTGGTACCTGCTATCACTACAGTAGTACATGCTGACTCTAAAGCAGTATTTATCAACTCTATCGCACAAAGTATTCACCTGACAATGGCGTGGTGAGGCCTAGTCCCGTCAGAGCCTCCGGCCTCGCCTAGATTATCCAGCGGGCCGAGGTGGCACCTTGGCAGGCTGGGGCTGGGCTGCTACCCCTGACCCCCCCCCCCCCACCCAGCCACAATGTCCCCGGCCGCTCTGCAGCAATATCTACGGCCAATAGTGGTAGCATCTAGCGACTGTATAGTAGTAATAACTGCACGCATCGGGGTGGGGGGGGCATCACAGTGAAGAATTAACATCAGCGTTTAGTGTATTTTTTATACATTTTTTACGCAAAAGAAAATGTCCCCCTCACTCCCACCGAAGGCGTGCGACTTGGCATGGGCCGTCCCCCCCACCAAAAGGCGTGTGAGTTGGTATGGTTGTGCACACATGTCATAAACAAATAAAAGTTAGCGCACTAAATCGCTAATTAAACCAATTTAAAGTTGACGGATGTGAAATAGGAATCGTGTTTGCTCTCCGCGGGGCTTACGGCGTGGTACCTGCCTATTTTTTTTTACGTAAACCCCACCGTTGGAGAGGCAAATCGTTTGCAAGCGCGCAAACACACAAACAAAGCTACAAACATAAATTTTTTGACTTTTATATATATAGACTAGCTTTACTACCCGGCTTCGCCCGAGACGTGGATTTTTGTCTTGGATTAATACACGGCCTACGCGGAGGGTTGGGGGGGGGATGCGTGACATTAGCAGGCACACTGCGTGATGCTGCCGCAGGTGGGTGACATCACACATGTAACGTCACCGCTCACTTGCCGTGAAAAATATATCCATTATTGCGCCCCCAAAATACAAAACTCTATTTTTATACATTTTGCATTGTGTACAGTCTGGAAGTTACCCACATGCCAAATTTCAAGTTTGTTGCATGTTGGGAAGTATGCTAAACATTTCGAACAGACACACATTCACAAATTTCCCTTTTATATATATAGATTACAGGAATATCAAGCAGATCAAATGCTTACAAGTGGTGAATTATTTCAGGAGTTCCGAAGTCAGTCACTGGAGTGGGAGAAGCAGAGGATCATGCACCAAGAGCAGGTGGCCCATCTGGAGTCACAGAGGAGAGCTCTAGCTGCCGAATGCACAGCCATACAGGTAGGTTGTACAATCCAGCAGTGAGCACGTTAATACAAATTTAACCGGCCACGCGGCTCAGCAGTAGAGCAAGAGGCTGTTAATCGGAGGGTTGCGAGTTCACATCCTGTTTGGTTGTTGACTCAGCACATAATCCCTCTGGGATCAATAAAATAAGTCCCACTTTATAAGGAAGTCTACGGTGGTCTCTATGGAAAAACTGGCCCCCGGCATAGGAATGTGTAAATTAAACCACTGGTTCAGGGTGTAAGAGCCATAAGACAGAAAGTGAGTGTATTATTTTTATATATACATTTGATGTACACCCGTCATACATTTGTTGACGGACTGGTTATATTTGATTTGGAATATCCCAACTGTGTAGAAACCCCCCTGTGGTTAGACGCTCCATTGGTTGAACCCATGACGTCACTTCCGGTTTTTACAGTATAAACGGGGTGCTATGAGAAGAGCCGATGGGGAGCGAGTGGATACAGTCTTTTGACCGTGCGACAGGTTGATACAGTACGTGCGACGAAGTGACACAGTACGTGCGACGAAGTGATACAGTACGTGCGACGAAGTGATACAGTACGCGAACAGGCGAAGTTATAACTTTAGAAAACGCTCGTTTTTGTGCAACATAGAAATAAAGAAACAGTTTGATTTAAGACACCTCAAACACGCGTCAGACTTATTGCTCCCACAACTTAAGGGCGTAGCTTATTTTCTGGTACAAGAAAGCTGCGCCTACACAGGGCTGTCAACAGGAAATGAGCACCGACCCCTTGCACATTCGAGCAGGAAATCGGCTTGTACTTGCAGATTCTAAATACAAATTTCACGCATGCAACCCATCACAAGAGTATTGCTACTGCCATATGAAAAGAGCTCCAAAGGAATGCAGCGTATCTCTGCATTGTCACATGGGGCGGTGACAAGGCTGAGTGGTTGTGCTATTAACAGTTTGTTGCAGAGTTATGATTGTCTGCGTCGAAATTGCTTTAACGGCAACGAGGCGACCATTGTGTGCTGGTGTCATGATCCAAGTTTGAAAAACTTTTATAAACGATTCACAAATGACCTCATTGGGAAATGCAGAGCAGTCGTTGCCCCTGACTGCAAAAACAGTCTCAGGATCCCTCCTGAAAAAGTTGAGACTCGGTGAGGACTCCCTCAGTTAACAAGCATAGCAATAATCCAAATTTTGAGAAATAAAAACCCATTACCATTTAAAGGTAATTTGTAAGTGGATAATAATGTTCGTGTCTGATGCTTTTACAGCAGCAATCGCTGAACTACCAGGCCCAGTTGACCTGCTGGCAGAATTCAATGGAGGAGAAGGATCAATGTGCGATGTCGCTCCTACAAAGCCAACTGGAAAAAGCCAGCAAGGTGCTGCAGTCCGATCGGGGTGCAGTGCAGCAGCTCGGAGAGGACCTGCACAAGGCGGAGGCTGCGTGTGGGCCAGAGGCGGAGGACAGGCAGCGTCTGCGCGAGGAGCTACACCGCACGTGCCAACACGTAGGGCGCCGTCGCACCGTCCTCTCGCAGCCACGGGAGAGTGCTTGTGTCATTGCCTGTGGATGGTCAAGTTTTGTTGTTATAGTTGACTTTAGGATTGTTGACCATATACATTTTATGCAGCCATCTAGCAGTTTATTTAAAGGTGGGTGCGCATTCCATTTTAGCACAACGAACAGCATTTGGGATACTCGGCTTGCTTTACAAATCGACTTCAGTCTGGACTCATTTGCTGTTTTTACCGTCGACACATCAGCAGCAACAGCCGGTTTAACACGTAGGCTTTCGCGACCAATGTCCATAATAGAGGTTTTTGGGTTAGATCGCGTAAATATATGTCGTTAAAACCCGCCACCACCCGACACAGCCAAATAGGAAGGGTTGTCACGTAAACAGAACGTGGCCAATTCGTCACTAGTACAGCACCACCGGTGTGTTGGAGAGCCAAGCCACATTTACAATCTGAGTACGACGTTTCGCCAGTAATTACAACTAGCTTCAGGCAACAGCCAGATTTGCGGAGAAGTTTTACTGTTTCATTCCTTATATAGAGGAGTAGATGTGTTGACCACGCAGCTGCGCTCTTGCACAATGTGGGGGGGGGGATTACTGAGGCAATGTAAATTATGCATGTGCATTTCTAGATTTGAAGCTTTCGTGACTGCAAGGATCCATACTCTTTGGTTCTATTCGGTAAAGTCACGTAGGTAAAAAATAAAACAACAAAAAACACGACGTTTTGGCTACAACACAAGCGGCCTTCATCAGGTGAAGGGACCAGACTGTCTCGAAGACCGCGCTGGAGTGAAACAGAGCCAAGCTCAGACCACGGCCTTTAAGCTGTGTGAGAGGGATTAAGGTGCCTTGACAAAGGAATTAGCATAAAAAATTAGCATTTAATTGGCGGACTTAGCATGATGAAAGGTGTAGAGAGGGTGAACATGCGGGTGCACATGCACTCACATGTGCTGCGAGAAGATGGTTTCAAATTAAGCAATCATTGGAAAGATGTTCTCAATTGAACCAAACATTAAACTAATTTTCAATGGTACAGTATATTTTTTGAAGTAGTGGTACCCCAAACTTTCGCAGCACATGCAGGTGCATGTGCACCCGCATGTTCATCCTCTCTACACCTTTCATCATGCTAAGTCCGCCAATTAAATGCAAATTTTGTATGCTAATTCCTTTGTCAAGGCACCTTAATCCCTCTAACACAGCTTAAAGGCCGTGGTCTGAGCTTGGCTCTGTTTCACTCCAGCGCAGTCTTCGAGACAGTCTGGTCCCTTCACCTGATGAAGGCCGCTTGTGTTGTGGCCGAAACGTCGTGGTTTTTGTTGTTTTATTTTTTACCTACGTGACGTTACCGAATAGAACCAAAGAGTATGCATGTGCATTATGCGAGCCCTTTTAACTTGCCCTTCCTGCTGTCTGTTTTTATTAAAATAGCCCTACCAACTGTAATCCCTATTGAAGTACGCTGCCCTTTGTAGGCATGCATTTAAGTAATGTATTATTTGATGATTCGCTTCCACGCAGCACTAAGTTGGTAGCTATCCGAATGGTTAAAGTTATTTTGATTTCTTGCAATTTCGATAGATTCTGTAATTGGTCTTGGCTAGTAGTAGCTAGTTTTTCACAAAACTTTAACAGTATCAAAATCATACTCTTTGGTTATTTCGGTAAAGTCATGTAGTTAGAAATAAATTAAAATAAAACAAATCACGACGTTTCGATTGCAAAACAAGCAATCATCAGGTGGGAAAACCACAGCAAGAAAAATGTTTTTGCTGAAGTGGGAGAGAGAGCTGCCGTGGCAAGAGGTTATATAGGTAAGAAGGGGGAGGGGCAAGGGGAGAAAGAGAGGGGGGGGGTGTGGGGTAAGGGGAGGGGAGCGCTGCATGAGCGCTAGCAGAGGGGACGTGAGGCTGGGGGGAAGTGGGTGGGGCTGGATGTGGGAGGCCGAGAAAGCTGGGGATGCGGGGGGTAATTAACTCGGAAAATAGACTCGTACCCGGCAGATATGATAGACACAACCATAAAGCAGTTAAGGTTTTACCTGGTTAATAACATCCTTCTAATGATTGCTCAATTTGTATCCATCTTCTAAGGTGAAGTTATGTCTATGTTTACATATCTGGATGGCTTCATGAACACACCTTTGATAATAGCCAGAAGGTTTGCAAAGTCCCTTGGTCTCGGAAAAAAGCAATATCATACGAGCCAACAGCGTTATAACAATGGTCAGCCACGGCAGAGGTATTGTTTCTGCCGTGTTTCAGATCTGCCTTGTGTTCGCGGACACGGTCCGAGACATGTCGTTTCGTTTCCCCAATGCAACTGCTACCGCAGGTACAACTCAGTTTGTAAACTCCAGGATATTGCATGTCAGGAATGACATCCTTCACAGATGGGATTAGATCACGGATTTTGTGTACTGTATTGAATCGGACCTGGATCTTGTGTTTGTTTAAGATTTTGGAAATCTTTTTGGAAATGCCTGCTATATATGGTAACATGATGATTTTGATTGGCTTCTCATGGGGTTGTTTCTCCATGTTTGGAGAAACAGCTTTGCGAATAATACGGTCCAAGTACCCATTCATCTTGAGGGCCTGGTGTACGTGTTCCAGTTCACTGGCTAGGTGGTGTTGGTCAGAAATGCAGTGGGCCCTATGGTGTAGTGTTTTGATGAGTGAATTCTTCTGTGCCGGATGGTGGTGGGAATCAGGTTTCAGATAGGAATCTGTGTGGATGGCTTTCCTGTAGTGTCCCAATGAGACGCCAGGTCTCTTCTCAAACAAAACATCCAGGAATGGTAGCTTACCATCCTTCTCCACTTCCATGATGAATTTGTTGGATGGGTGTATGGAATTGATGTGGTTGAGAAATTGGTTCAAAGCTGGCAGGCCATGTGGCCAAATGACGAAAGTGTCATCTACATATCTCTTCCACAAGGAAGGACGTAGGGTGGATGTCTGGATGGCATCTGTTTCAAATTTCTCCATGAAAACATTCGCTATCACTGGTGATACGGGGGAACCCATGGGGTACCTTCATTTTGTTTGTAGAAAGTACCATTCCAGGTGAAGTAAGTGTTGGTAAGGGAGTGCCTAACCAGAGCAGGTATATCAGTATTCAGTCCATGTTGGACTAAGTATTCAATTATTGCTAAGGTGTCAGGTACAGGAACCTTGGTGAACAGAGAAACTACATCAAAGCTGATGAGCAAATCATCTGGGGACAGTAAAATGCCCTTGATTAGAGAGACTAAATGATGTGAGTTACGTACTGCTGACGTAGGTTTGCCCGTGAATGGAAGCAAGGTATCAGACAGAAAACGGACCAGTTTGTAGGTGAGTTGATAGTGGAAACGATTGGCCGAAGTGGAGTGCCTTCTTCATGGATTTTTGTAAGACCATAGAATCTGGGTGGTCTAGTGGCAGAAGGTTTTAGGGAGAGCCGTTTGAATGGTTCGATTAGAAAAGTCGAACTGGTAATGATATAGTTGTTTTTTGTAGCCAGGTGGTTGGTAGGATCTTTGTTGATTTTGGTGTAACTGCCATCATTAAGAAGGTCCTGGATTTTGTTGTTGTATGTGGTTTTATCCATGATGACAGTAGCATTGCCCTTGTCGGCTGAGAGGATGACTGTCATCTCTCTTTTTCAATTTGGCGAGTTCATAGCGCCTGTCTTTGCTGATGTTACTAATGGGTTTCTTAGCATTTTTAAGGATGGTGGCAATTTCAGATTTTGCCATGTCTGTCGGTATGTGTCCCAGGCCTTTGAGGGCTACATCTACCTGGGCAATTAAATCATCAACTGGGATGTATTACCACAATCAATTGAGTGTCCTTGTTGGCACGCGTGTTTTGCTACTGCTGATAGTTGTATTTGGGAGAATTTAATGTTTCTCTGATGTTCTTTTAATCTCGTGCTGATCATTCGTCCTGTTTGCCCAACAACATTTACCACATGCAGTTAATCCTGTACACGCCTTCTGTTGATTGCTTCGGTAATACATCTTTTGTACCAGATATTAATTTCTGTATTTTATGTACCGTGCCAAATCTGACTCGGATGTTTTGTTTTCCAAACATCTGGACAGTTTATCAGTTACTGTCGCAATGTACGGTATTTTGATCGTTTTAATTACTTGCACAGTTTCAATGCTCTTGTTATTTGATTTGGTTTTGGTATGCAATGCCCTGTTGATTTGTGCATCATTGTAACCATTCATTTGCAGTGCTTCTTTAACATGTTGCATTTCACTTCTCAGACTGTCACCATCTGACACTTGCTCTTATCAAGACGCTCATTCACATATGTGATGCCACCGTTCACTTGCCATGCAAAATATATCCATTAATGCGCCCCCCCCAAAAAAATATACAAAAGTCTATTTTTATACTTTTTGCATTGTGTACAGTCTGGAAACTACCCACATGCCAAATTTCAAGTTTGTTGCATGTCGGGAAGTATGCTAAACATTTCGAACAGGCACATATTCACAATTTCCCTTTTATATACATAGATGTATATATTTATATTTTTAGTGACTTTCTTAACTTTTCTCTACTTTGCACTCCTATCGATTTTGTATTGCTTGTTGTAACCTGTCACGCCCCTCCTGGACATCTAATGAAAAACAGCTTCATAGCTCATTGGATGCAGTCCAGGGTAAATAAAGATTCTGATTTTTATTCCGTGCAGGACAGACGGGAGGGCAGCGCTGTGTCCGTTGGGCAGCTGGAGCTGGAGAACCGACAGCTGCGGAGTGAGCTGGCTGCCCTGTGCTCTGCCGCCGCTGTGGTGTCTCATCACCTCCCCGATATGGAGCGATGTGAAGAGCGGTGTGTCCTGGCCACACATTCCCCCTCATGAGTCGCCACTTAACTACTTGCCACCCCCAACGATCCCCTGTGTAGCTTTAGCAGACTTTTGGGGCAAGTGCTGTTAGCGAATGAAGGCTGGCACGGGACACGAGGGGGCGGGTGGCCAGCACCACGCCCAGCCGCCTTTGTTTCTTAGTGCTGATGTTTACGTACACACTGCACCAGGTACTCATTTGAGGCTGAGTCGATAAAGGGGAGGCCCAGAACTGGTTCAGATAATGGTCACTGGTGTTGGTGACCGTGAACGAGAATCGAACTCTAGTTGCTGCGTATGTAGCGAAGCGTACAAACCAATACACTACGGCTCCCCAATAACCACAAGCCCCACATCCTCATATTACCTCCAGTCTCATTTCATTAATTGTAATGGCTCAGGAGTGTGATTGAAGTATACATTATTTAATATATATGTTGATCTGTATTCTCATTAGTAATAAATTGGGCATTGACTTTTTAACTATAAAGAAGTACACGTTTATATATTTATTTTTGATAAACATTGCAAATACTTGACTTAAAGCGTTCATGACTGCAGGAATTCATTTTCTTTGAGTCTTTTGGTAAAGCCACGTAGATAGAAAAAGAATGAGTCGTGAAGGTAGCCCAGCTCTCCGATCTTACATTTACATGCAAATTAAATCTCTAGCCCCACACACTTCGCTTATGACCCTTGGGCTGCACCCATCTCAAATCTTTATAAACATCCTGCCTCAGAATCTCTCCCGCTATATTTTTTCCTGCCTCAGGAGCTCTCCCGCGATATTTTTTCACCTGATGACGATTGCTTGTGTTGCGATTGAAACGTCATTATATTTATATTATTTTATTACTTTTCTACCTACGTGGCTTTACCGAAAGACCCAAAGAATATTGCAAATACTGCCCTCAATATGTGCCATGTGTTTTTTTTTATGTGCCATGTTATGGGTGTACCCCATCAACTAAGCATGACTACCCAGTAATTCACAACCGGCAAGCAGAAAATCTTAATCATGTAGATCCTCCGCAGAGCTTGGTGATTGAAAATAAAAACAGCCCAGGTTATAATGAGAGCACTTCGCGCTTGCAAATCCTGTTGAATCATACACGGCAAAGATGCAGCAATAATTTCAACCCGAGTGTCCGTGTCTGCATCCCCAGGTCGGTGAAGGAGCAGCGGGCAAGGAGTGAAGGTGACATGTATGGGCCGCACGGCCGACTGGGTGGCGCAGAGAAACCGCTCCAGTTTAACATTCAGCACCTGTTCTCACTACCGGATGGAGGAGAGCAGGGACACCCTGTGTCTGAATTGAAGGCCGCAGAGTCTGCTGGGTCTGCTGGGTCTGCTGGGTCAAGGCACGCGACAGCCGTTGCCGCTGTCCCTCTGGCTGCGAGCCTTGAACCTCTACCCTACCCCAGAACCTTGTCTGATGATGAACTAGTCGACAGCTTTGCCAGTGTTAATGAACCAGGAAGATTGTTTCACACAATGAAGACACAGGATCTGGATCTACTGGTAAGATTGTTGCGGATGGTGATATAGCAGTTAAGCCACTTAATTCTATTTACATGAAACATTTAGTGTTTTTATATCAGAATGTATCCAGCTTTGAAAAATAAACTAAGGCATACATCATCCTATTACGGGGTTTTATGCAATTGGCCATATATATTTTACTTATGTACACGGTGTTTTTTCAGTAAACTTATGTAATTAAGCGTAAAGTGACGTAATTAATTCCACATTTTCCCTACAATAACTCTCACAACTATTTTGTTAATTCCTGCTTAAGCCACAGAATGCTAATATTTAGTAATAGGTGATGGTGAATTCATGCTTCTTTGTTTAGGACTTGTACTCCTACATTGAATTTTATACATGCACAGCAAATTACAGGTTCATTGCTCTGGGCCATTGTTCAGGGTTTTTAAATTAAAGTAGTCACTTGCAAGAGTTATAGAACATGAAGCCAGAATTCTTTAGGGTTTATTATTTTAGCGTGACCTGTCTTTCCTCAATGATTTTGAGTCGTGCACGTTGTAGATTTCAGATGAGCCGGTTGGGTCCAATGCGGCTGTTGAACAATTTTTGGAAGAAGAGTCGAAGCGTGCCAAGGATCTGGAGAGACTGGTGGAAGAGCACATGGACGGCCTGCGCAGAGAGACTCGACTCGCACTTGAGCACTTGGGTCAAGCCCATGGGTCCCCAGCATGAGCAGTATGTGGAGTAACAATGGGCAACTAAAACCCGTAGATTTATAAAGCTGTGTTTGGTCACGTAGACTTGTTTCTCTTCTTGGTTTTGTGAGTAGGTCTCATGGTGTCAATAACATGTGTGTATGCCCAGCCAATACCGCTTGGCAGACGAGCCAGCACTATTGTCATGTATCGACCCCCTAAAAGGATCTCAAGTCCCAAGCCATCGCCTATAGCGGGTGACCAGCTGTGTGTGGTACCACCCATTTCACGTTACAACTGCGTTTGCTGGTTTTCATGTTTACCTCCCAGGCTTAGAGGGTTGGGGTGTGGGGTTGGGTTGGGTTGGGTTTGGGGTTAGCTTAAGTATTGTTTAGCTTTTGAATTAAAAAAAATACATAAAAAACTGTCTATATGTGCGTGAGCGTGCGTGAGTGGAGAGCGGTGGCGCTGATGTGTTTAGCATAATGCACTACGAATCCAGTGACCTGGAGTGCGGGGTGGATCCGGGTCTAGGGATTTGTGGTCTGGGTCTGATGGTTTGAGGGGGTCCGGGGTTGTGGCCTGGGGGAGGTCCGGGGAGATCTGGCGTGGTTCACGGTGGGTCCGGGGGGTTTCTCGGGTGGGTCTTGGAGGGGGTTTTGGTGTACGTCAAGAGGCATCCGGGGTGGTTCCGTGGTGTTTATGGGAAGGGGTGGGGGTCCAAGGGGGTCCCATAGACGTGGTCGAAATTTGGCAAGAAATGCCTGAGTGAAGACCCATCAGTTGTTTTCCCCCCATAGCGATGAATGGGACAATAAATATATAACGTGTTTCTCTGCAACGACAAATCGCAGCGTCAAGGTATTCTTTTTACTTGAACTCACATCTCGATGCGGATACGAAGGACCTATAGCTGATGTCTATCGGTGTTGTATATCATGAGGTATACATTGCTTGCATGTCAGTCAACCTGACCGTGGTGACGTCACCAAGCAGCGGCGTTCATCACAGGTGTGTGTATGTGTGGAATCGATTCTCGGCTATTTCTGCTCACGTGTAATTTAATCGAATATTAACATTGCTGGTATGGATCTCGCCGAGAGGAAACTATAACGACCGGGCTTTTAAACCGGAATCGATTCTCTCACACCTGTGATAACGTCACCACATTTAACAGGCTTGGAATCGATTCTCTGCTATCCATTCAACCTTAGCGTTGACGTTACAACGCAGCTGCGCCGCAATCAACCTGAGCGTGGTGACGTCACCACGCAGAGATGCTCCATGTTGATGTCAGTAGATTCCCGATTAGGTATTTACCTCGAAACGCGTCTGGAGGAGACGAGTTGATCGATATATGTTTGTTGTGGTTGCACCCGAGTCAAGAGCCGCATGGCTCACAGGGTTATACCTAATAAATGAAACTGAAAAATGAAACTGAGTATATATCATAGAGGATATAAGAATAGATTTTAACATTTCTGGAAATGAAACAGGTGTTAAGATGTTAAAATACCAAACTGAAACCTTTTGCAAGGAATGATATTTGCATTAACCACACGTCTCAGCCTCGCTGTGCGCTGCATTGCACCACTATCTGAGTAGTTAACCTCGCATTAAATTAACCTTCATAGCCAGGGTGAACATCCGACTCCAACGTATTTAATGAATAGAACGAGGTAAAACTAATGGAAAATCACGGCACAAATTACAGCATCTGTTAATACTTGCAATATCAATACAATGAATGAACACTGCAGCATCATAACATTGTCTTAGCTAACATGAATCTCAATAATAGGTCCTGGATGGACCAGGCACCGACATTAGCACTGAATACAACAAGAGAGTAAGTTACTATGTTAAATAAGGTCACTTTGTGTAATCACCATACTGCAGCTCTCAAGAACGCATTAAAGTTACATGGGCACAAGTCTGGCTTGACTTATCCTACTACGAATAACATTCACAATAATGCAAGTGGCAGGCTTCGTTGTTAACTAGGCCTCATTTATCATAACAATTTAACAGCATTATAAAGGCATTTTCAGCATTATAACGGCAATCCTAACATTATAATTGCATTCCCAGTATTATAAGAACATAAACGAACTTACAGACAATGCTTCTTAAAGTCCCACAATGAACAGATGCACCAGTCTTCACTGAGACGCGAATTGTGCCTCCATTTTGTACTCTTTGTAATGGCTGACACCCCTGCCTTGCCTCGTGGCTTCGAGACCCTTAACTCGTAACTTCCTGGTCACATGACCAAACCCAACACCATCACATCAGGAAGTTCCTGTGTAAACATACCCCAAGATCTGCCATGGGGCAGAACACTCCCCGTCTGGTATCTAGGAGATACCACCATTTATTTTCCTATCTCATAAACAAATTTACAACAAACTTCAACGGGTCAACTTATTTGTCCATATCTTTGCAAGAGAGAAGTAGTACTGTCTCAGCTATAGGCCTGATGAAAGTTATTGCAACAACTTGCTTCGCTACCATAACCTTAACCTTTCTAACTTTCCCATCGGCACTGGGAATTGTTTTGAGGATGCGGTCCATTGGCCACTCATTCCATTTGACTTGGTTGTCCTTCAATAGGAGGAAGTCACCTTCTTGGATGTCTGGTCTGCTCGACTGCCACTTGCTGTGCATTTTAAGTGTCTCAAGGTACTCGTTTTTCCAGCAATGCCATGAACGTGTTGACTAAGCTCTGCACTTGTCTCCATTGACGTCTGTAGAGGTCTGCAGTGCTGACCTCCTCAGTGGGTGCTCTGAGCACGTCTGTCTTCTGGGTAAGAAGTGTAGCAGGAGTCAAGATGAATAGTGACTCCGGGTCAGTTGAGACGGGGATCAGGGGTCTTGAGTTAATTATAGCTGAGACCTCGGCCATGAGAGTGGTCAAGACCTCGTGAGAGAGCCGTGTGGACCCAACATCGCATAGCATGGAGTCAAGAATGCGTCAAGCAATCTCGATTATGTGTTCCCAGGCTCCACCCATATGCGAAGAGGAGGATTGAAGATCCATGTGCAGTATTGGTCACTAAGGTATTTCCCTACAGAATCATCTTCAATTTTCTGTATTGATCTTAACCTCTTTACATGCTCCAATGAAATTCATAATAAAGGTTTTTGGGTTAGATCGCGTTATTTATAAATGTGTCAACCCTCCACCACCCGACACGGCCAAACAGTAAAAAATGTATCACGTTTACAAAGGACAAATATTCTTAGTTTTTTCGGTAAAGTCACGTTGAAGAGAAACAACAAAATAACAAAATATATATAAAACAATAAAACAAAAAATTCTCACGACGTTTCGACCATAACTCAAACGGTCATCATCAGGTGTGTCGGTTTGCATAAATTTATTTTTAAAACGGCACATTTATTTATTTATAAAAAAAAACCGTTGGCGTCACGCGCAGCGATTGGCAGTTTGCCCAGGACTAGTCCATCTATTTTTTGAAAAGAGGAGGGGGGAGACGAAATTTTTTATAATGTATGCTGTCTGAAAGCCACTGTAAGTGTGAACAATCAATCAAGAACTGAAATGATTTATCAAATCTTTCCAATGATTGCTAAGATAGAATCCATCTTCTCGGTTGAAATTGTCTCTGTGCTTGTATATGTGGATAGCCTCATGAACGAATCTCTCATGGAAGCCAGATGGCTTACAAAGAACCTCCGTCTTGGAAAAGTCAATGGCATGTGAGCCTACTGAATTAGAACAATGATCTGCTACGGCCGAGGTGTTGGTCCTACCGTGTTTAAGGTCTGCTTTATGTTCACGAATGCGGTCCGAGACATGGCGTTTGGTTTCTCCAATGTAACTACTACCACAGAGGCAACTTAGTTTGTAGACACCAGGGTATTGTATGTCCGGAATCACATCTTTTACAGACGGAACCAGATCACGGATTTTATGTAATGTGTTGAAACGGACCTGGATCTTGTGTTTATTCAAGATTTTGGAGATCTTTTTTGTGATCCCAGCAATCTAGGGTAAAGTGATGGTTTTGAAAGGCTCCTCAAGAGGGTTCTTCTTCATGGTTTGAGTGATAGCTTTGCGGATTGTATAGTCGGAGTAACCATTAGCCCTAAGAGCTTGGTGTACGTGCTTGAGTTCACTGCTTATGTGTTCCTGGTCGGATATGCATTGGGCTCTATGATACAGAGTCTTGATGAGAGAATTCTTCTGTGATGGATGGTGGTGGGAATCCGGTTTCAGATAAGCATCCGTATGGGTAGCTTTCCTGTAGACAGAGTGGCTCATTGAACCATCAGGTCTCTTTTTAATTAGGACATCCAAAAAAGGTATCTTGCCATCTATTTCGACTTCCATGGTAAATCTCATGGCTGGGTGTATGGAATTGATGTGGTCGAAGAATTGGTCTAGAGCAGGCCGGCCATGTGGCCAGATAACAAAAGTGTCATCCACGTACCTCTTCCATAAGGTTGGGCGCAGAGTGGCAGTCTGGATGGCGTCAGTCTCAAATTTCTCCATGAAAATGTTAGCTATAACTGGAGAAAGGGGGGAGCCCATTGGGATGCCCTCAGTTTGTTTGTAGAAAGTTCCATTCCAAGTGAAGTATGTATTGGTTAAACAGTGTCTCACCAGGGGGGGTACCTCAGTGTTTAGTCCTTGATGAACCAAGTCTTCAATGATTGCAATGGTGTCAGGTACAGGAACCTTGGTGAATAAGGAAACTACATCAAAACTGACAAGCAGGTCGTCTGGGGACAGAGAAATACCCTTGATTGTTGATACCAGGTGAGTAGAATTTTGTACCGCAGAGGTGGTCTTTCCAGTGAAAGGACGCAGGATTTCAGACAAAAAACGAGCTAGTTTGTAGGTGGGGGAGCTGATAGTAGAGACTATGGGACGAAGAGGTGTATCAACTTTATGTATTTTTGGTAAGCCGTATAATCTTGGTGGCCTGGCAGCAGAAGTTTTCAACGAAAACTGTTTAGATTGATCAATTAATGCGGTTGAATCAGAAATTATTTTGTTGGTTTGCGTGACGAGGCTGTTGGTGGGATCTCTTTTTATTTTTGTATAACTACCATCGTCGAGTAATTCTTTAATTTTGTTGTTGTATTCTATTTTATCCATGATGACAGTAGCATTGCCTTTGTCAGCTGAGAGAACTACAATATCATTCCTCTTTTTTAATTTATATAATTCAAAACGCTCATCTTTGCTGAGGTTGCTAGCTGGCATCTTAGCGTTTTTGAGGGTTGCAGCGATTTCAGATCTTGCTACGTCTGCAGCGATGTGACCCAGGCCCCTGAGAGCAACGTCTACTTGGGCAATTATATCATTAACTGGTATGTGTTTAGGTGTGACTGCAAAGTTTAG